ATTTAATAAAATGTAATTTTTCCAAATATCGTATCATTTTGACGCAGTTCAATGTTGATTCCTTTACTTTTATTTGGCTTTGCTTTTTGCTTTCGCTCAATTTACTTTCTTTAATTTTTCAAAACAAAATATAAAACGTTTGAAATGAAGTGGACCATACAAATTTTGAATTTATTTACTAAGCAAATGTTTTCTTTCGGCTTTTGCAAATTAAATAAGTCCTCTGCAAGAAGCTTTGTTTAAAAAAATACGTGTACATATATGGTATATGGGGCATGGAAATATCCCTTTTCCCTAGCTGTAAACCTTTTAGTGTCGGCAACAATGATGTTTTTCAAATAAGGCAGATCGGAATAGCGCTCTCTGGGAAAACAATACCTGTAATTATTGTACCACTTGACTTGAATCGACTCCAACTCGATGACTTTTCAACTTTTGTTTACTACGGGAACAAGAATGATAGACTGCTTTTACTCAGTTCAAGTATTAAAAATTCAATTCTGCTCGCATGTGGAAGAGAGAAGGTGAGAAGAAAAGGAACGAGTACACAGGTGTCTGCACCGTCAAGTCATTTCAACTTTCTTGCTTTGTTTTTGTGATTTTCGTTGCTTCCATTTAAAGAACCAAAAACTTGAATTCAACGGAATTGAAACGTTTAAAGGCAAATAGAAAACACAAACGAGAATGAGCAAGAATTGTTTTCAAGTACTTAAATCATGTAAATCCGGTGATAGAATACAAGATTGCGCATTCCGGCGGGTGATGACTTCACGATCGCAACGAATAGAGGAGATAATTCATGATCGACGAAAAATTTAATATTACGCCCAGAAATAGCGAAATACTGAAAAATAATGAAACACTAAGCTAGTAGAAAGTAGTAGTTCTTGGCAAATTGTTTCTGCATTTTTTTATAGTTAAAAATGTTCATTAGCAAAAACTAGTAATAATTATTAGTAACTATTCGTACGAGGACAAACTTATCGCGGACAATTCTATGCTGACGTCATGAACCAAAAAGACAAGATCACGACAGCAGAAGAGTGGCCCGTTATAATCGCACTTATGAAAAAAGTAGGGCGATTTTGACATAAGCCGTTTGTTTACATTTGTTCGTTGTCTACAATTTGGTGGTGGCTTTTTACTGCAATTTTCTTAATTTTCGCTTGTGACAATGTGTGCACACATAAGGTAAAGAATAATTTAACACAACGACATGATTTATAGGAGAATTTGCATAATAAATATGATTATTCATGCGTTCAACAATTACGCGTTTTTTTTTTGTTCTCTTCGTTGTTTACTTCTTACAACAAAGATGGCGTCGAGATTTCAACAGCTAGAAAAAAACTTTTTTCTTTCTTTCCTTAAGGCGTGATCTTGTGTCTTTCGTTCATGTGCTGACGTCACACGAACAGCTGAATCTGTCAAATTTGCCAAAACCAAAGTAGCGGTACTCTTCATCGTGGACGAACCCGCTTTCGCAAACTTTTTTCTCAAAACCAGGGCATGAATCACGTACCTTTGAAGCGATTGTCGTTCAAACGATACTGACAAAACGATGTCGTCAAAACACTGCTACATGTATTTGTGTTGCTGTTACGTGCTACTGTTACGTGAAGCAAAAGTGGAATTTAGTGGACGACTTCACACAAACGATCGAAAAAGTTTTGGTTTTCATGAAACAAAACAATCTCAGCACGATATCGATTGTCGTCATACGTGATTCATGCCCAGCTACAAATACAACGTCGCGTTCTTACGTGTTCTTGCATTTTCTGTTCATGGATTTACGTTTTTTTTTTATAATTCGTAACAAAAGTAATGAGTCCAATGTGAACACCACCAGCATATTTAACGTACATCGTGTACAATTTTTATTTTCGTTTGACACTAGGGTGTCAATTACGGTGAAAACATCGATGTTTTTACAGATTCTTCTAATTTTTATTCAACCTGTGTGCTGATTCAAAAAGTTGAACTAACGGTAAAAATTACTGTTTCTTATTGTTAACATAATGACTCAGAGAGGTGGTTTACAAAAAAAAGAATATAAAGAAAAAATTTATTCACATATCACCTGAAATGCAAAAAGTCGTAACTAATACAAAATTCAAAATTCATTTTTTGACTGATATGATGGATTTCATCGAATTACTATAACTCCCACATGTTTTAATAAATAAATAAAAAAATTTTGTCACGACTTTTTCCATGTCAGTTACGATGTTGTTACGTCTTTTTGCATTTCAGGTGACGATATATTTACATTTTTCTTTTCACAAATATTATAAGGAAAGTTAACTACAATTTCACGGAGCCCGCTACTAGTTTATCAAAATACCTCCAGCACAAGCTTCGTTCATTTATTACTCCAGAATTTAACGTGAATTAGATTCGCTGGCGTAGTACATGTAGATTAACAGATATTTACACCACATACTTATAAACCATTTAGCGCCGGTTACTCAATGTCTGGTTAACACTAATCACCGTTTAAACATCATTATCGACGTGTTCGGCTCCATGCAAATAACATGGAGTCGGTAACGCCGAAAACGATGTTTTACCGGAGATTAGTGTTAACCAGACATTGAGTAACCGGCCCTTAAAGTATTTCTTACTTATATACGTATACATATCGACTGCTGGGTGGAAGATCGACCTATCTCGGCAGCCAGTTAGAAAGCGCCTTATCTCAAAAAATTTTTCAAGAACGCCCTATTTGAGAATTCATTTCAAAAACGCCTTATCTCAGCTGCCGATTCAAAAACGCCCTATATCAGCACATTTTCAATACATTTTTGAACCGAATTTTGAGATACGGTGTCTTTCAACCAAATTCTGAGATAGGGTGCTTTTCAATCAACTTCTGAAATAGGGCGTTCTTGAAAAGTTTTTTGAGATAGGGCGTTTTCGAACTGGCTGTCAAGATAGGTAGATCTTCCACTCAGCAGTCGATATATGAACATTAATTTTGAATATAATATGGGAATTTATTAAAGAAACATACTTGGGCATGATTCCACGAAAGTACTTATTAATCGCTATTAAACGCTGGCAGAAATTTTAAAAGCGCGCACAAAAAGAAATGGTGAAAAATTAGTCAAGAAACATCTTCGATGTTTTTCAAACCACTTTTTTTTTACACACACTTGTAGACAACAGTTCACGCTTTATTACAAAAATAAAATTTACTATATCTGTGCACTAATTTATTAATAATGTCGGTTGAAAATATGGTATTTTTTGCAAGTTTCCGAGCTGAGCTGTCAAAAAAAAAATATCCACGAAATATCTCTACAAAAGGTGTTCAGCCCCTCTTCTTTAGCAAAACAGAAAGGAGAATTCTACTTAGTGAAGGTTATAATCCCTTTTTATAAAGCGGCGTTCATCCTTTTCGTTAGTCTTCTAAATCATTGTACAAATAGCTAAAGATTTCCCATGTTTTTCTTTGATTCGATGCACCGAAATGTACATCGATAATTTTCAATGAATCGAAGGGCATACATCGATGCATCGATTTGCATAGGATTTTTCAGATAATGTCTCACAAAAAAATATGTTATTAGCAAAATTGTAGAAATTTTAAATAAATTACTGCAACTGAGCTAATTTTGTTTCTAGCGGAAATTCTTGCAGCCATTTACATTTTTTGGCCAAAGTCATTTCTTTTTTTTTTGAACAATTGAAAAACTGGAATGACGGTACAATGTACCGTAGTTGTCAGTTTTCAAAAAACATCGATACATCGATACATCCACTATTTATACATCGAGTGGAAAATTTTCGATGCATCGAAGCAAAACATCGATATTTTCGATGCATCGATGTTTTTCCGACAATCCTATTTTACACTCGCTTTTCACGCGCTGTGTTTTTGTTTTACTGTACAAAATATTTTGACAAAGTAATTTCTTATGGCTAGCACGTCGAAAAAAGTCAGGAAAAATGAAGAATTCCCTACTGACTGGGATATTGACCAATATCGTGCTGATCATGAAAGTGAGGAGCATTGGCAAATGAGACGACACTTCATGGAGCTACATAAGGATAAATTTCCCGAGGAACGACTTGTTTGCCTCGCTGCGGTTTTTACCAACATGGAATTCATGGGTTGCAAATATCCATCAGAAACTATGCGACTGGTTGCAGAGCTTTCGAAGGAAGTTGTGAAAGATTATAGAAAAAGTCGGGAAACGCGACTTAAGCGCACATTTGTAGCAGCTTCAGTAGCGGCTGAGGCACGCGTTAAAGGTAGACGATAGAAAGCAAGATGTAAATTAATCGCTTTAGTCTTAAGAATATATGTGAGTACTTTTTGTCTAGAATATATTTCAATTAAAAAATATTTTCCTTTTTATGTTTTCTTTATGAACAATTGCAGCTAGGTCGGGTGGACATTCGGGACAACAACAGCAAAACAGCATTTCAAATAATTCTCGTAACCAGAATAAAACTGGTAATGATCTTTTTGAAGGCCTAACATACGGTAAATTTATACTGTTCCTTAATGGGGGACGAAATTGCTTACGCACCTCCGCCCAAAAATGTAATATGGAGTATGAAGAAAAAGAAATTGACGGGCCAAATACGAGAAAGTATGTTCAAGTATAAAAGTAAAAAAAACCTAAATTGAATTTGATTTTTTAGGGAAATTAAGGTTTTCTTAAATGGCAAGCTAGTGACAAAAGCTTCTGAGGAAAATTTGAAAGCCACCAAGTTACAGGCTTTCAGCAATGCTCTAGATGTTCTTCAAAAGAAATGCTATTCCATTAAAGTAGGGTGATCTAGTAAGCCAGTATCTATTGAATATGGAAATTGAATAATTTCTTTCAGCCAAATCCATTGCAAGATGCTATAAAGATAAATAAAACCAATAATCAAGTTGTTTGCGGAGTAGTTAAACAACAAGCGGATAATGCGGAGGACAAAAAGCTAGATTCTTCTAATAAAGGCTATAAAATGATGAAACTAATGGGATGGACTGGTGGTGGCTTGGGATCAAAAACACAAGGCCGAGAGGAGCCCGTTGGATACTTACTGAAAAACAACCGCGCTGGTCTTGGTAACCAATCTTGTAAATTGGATCGTAACTATTTTAGGCAGATATTGAAAAACTATGTTGACTCAGAAGATATACGGGAGCTACAATTTGAGTCAACTTTTACCAAAGAAGAACGAGCAATGTTACACGAGTAAGGAATTGCTCTAAATATAAACCTTCAATAAATAAATTAAATCTTTATTTTAGGATCGCAGGTAAATTTAATTTGAAATCAACCAGCTATGGAAAAGATGAAGAGCGCCGTTTAGTCATTTCAAAAAAGACAATTACTTATGAAAAAATTCTTAATGAAATTTTGCTAAAAAAGAATCCCAACTATATTGACAAATATTTTATACAAGTTCCAGAGTCGAAAGCTCGTTTCTACCCTGAACACTCAGAAAAAATTGAACTAGACTTGTAATGTATTTATGTTATGTACGATGTCCCGAAAACGCCCCACTAAAAATATATGGTAGTAAGCATTTTTACATTAAACTTAGTATTTGTTATAAAGTTTATTCGGAATTTATTTTGAAACGAAACTGTATACATCAGAAACCGGGTTAATGCATTGGCTGTCACTTCTTCACTGCACCCAATCTGCTTGGATCCTGACTAGGATAGTGGACTTGGCCAGGTGCACCACCGGTCGGTGGAGGTGGAATGGCGTCCAAAATTACCGCGGAGGTAGAAGGCATTGGAATATTAGCGTATGGTGCTGCATAGGCCTGCGAGTACATTTGGTACGATGACGCAGGTATGAGGCTGGGCGGTATTTGATGAAGTTTCATACCAGGAGGTAGTACAGTAACTTGTTCTTGTTGAAGATTGAAAAAGTCATTTGGATTGGCAACAGGCGTAGGTGGCACTGCGGGAACATCAAAACGTCTATCTGTCTTTGCCACCCCACTTTGTTTGGCTTGTGAATGAGCCCACTTTATTGTTGCCTTGCGGCCATGTAACACTAATTTGTTGAAAGTACGTTCGGCTGCTAACTCTGCTGCTCCACGTTTTGTGTATTGCACGAATGCACACTGTTGCCTAGGCACCAACGCAATAGATCTGATTTCGCCGTATTGATAAAAATGGTCGCGCAGCTCCGGTTCCGTTATTTCTTCGGGTAAATTACCCACGTATAATGTTGTAATATTGCGATCTTCCGGTGGTTCCAGTGTGGGTAAAGTAGCTGCGCGTTTCATAATTTTTTCGGCAACGGGATCGTTACGTCCATAATATCGATCTTTTATATTCTGCTCACATAGTGGATCATCTGGTTCGTTGGGTTTGTCATGACGATATGGGCACTCTTCCCCTCGTTTGCATTCGCCCTTCACCCAAAACGAGCATATGTGTGGTCTATTACGTTTATAATAAGGCGCAGTTCGTGCTAATTTTGCTAGCATCTCATTTGCGGCTAGTGAGCGTCCAACTGTGCCCGCCGCTTCAGTGCCATCGCCATCTCTTAATTCCCGGTCTATGTTCTGAATATAGTACTCCTTATTTACATCGCTTTGAGGTATGGTGTCGGCCACTTTAAGTGCCGCGTCGCGCACCTGAATAGGCAAACCATATTCCAAGTCTAGTAAACATGTCTGGCACACATTTTTCAGACGAGCACAAGTCTGACAAATTTCAGTTTTCTTGAATCGCATTCTAGCTCCGGGACACCATCGGAATATAGTGAAAGGGCGTGTGCAAATTTTACATTCCTTACCAAATCTTTCCTTGATCATACGCACGTACGGATTATCGCCGAGACAGGTTTGACACAATATCGGAAACTCGGCGTCTTCCCAATTCTGCCTATTATAGGTGTTGGTCGTCTTTGACATAGACATGTTGCAGTAGATATTTTACAGTTTTTTCGCCAGGGTAATGAATATATCGTTGATATACCGAGAAATTTATGTAAAATAAAAATTTACACGACGCACTACAAAAATGGCGAAAATTGTAAAAGATAACTGGGAAAGAAATGTCAAATCTTATACTAAGGATGCCACAAGTTTGAATAAATTTGCGAATATTGCCATAGAGAGTTCCGTAGTTCCGTTTCTTTTCTCTTCTAGCAGACAATTATCTGCAAGAAGAAGAATGGGTAAATTTAGAGAATTACGACCACAGAGAGCGAAATAAAGAAATAGTAAAGAAACGCAACATAAGCAGAAACTAACAAGTAAACAGCTGATCGATGTATTTGACTATTTAAAATATTTGGCGCGAATTTTTGTTTATCCATTTTGGCAGCTGCGAGTTTTTGTTAGTAAAAATTTTACTAGCAGCAATTAGCTGGAGAGTCAAAAAGTTAAGAGCGTAAATTCAAGAGAGAGCTGCTAGTTTCTACTAGTTTTGTGGGTTAAGAAATGCTTTCGAGCAGAAATTAGTGATCATTTGTGATAATTATCTGTTAAGAAACAAAGCTATTGTCACATACGTTATGTACATAATTACGTTTTTGCAAACATGCTTTTGATATATAAAAATACACTTAAAATAACATTTTGCGAGGCATTAAAAAAGTCGGGAAGCTGTATGGTCAGAGAATGTAAAATTATTCAGCCACATCATGAGTTTCATTTTCCCCGAACCGGTTCACTTTTCACTTTTGGTTTCCATTGTTTTACTATGGGTAGATGACAAATTTTCGGGTGAATTTTTTTTCATGTGAAACTCAGGATAAGGCAAATTATGTTATTTTCGTAGAAAATTATAAAATAAAATCAGATTAAGAGCCGTTTTCTGAAGTAACCTTTAGCTTTAAATCTCACTTTATATTTAAAGGTTGGATTAATAAAGCTATGTCTTAAGTTAAGCATTTCTACTATCGGTTTTTGACGTATGTGTGCTCCTTGTTTGTAAGCCAATTTAAAACCGGTAATAAACTGCTTTACTTTGGACACAATCATAGATTTTAATGCAACTGTTAAATATAAAGCATTAAGGTTACAGGTTACTTGAGAAAGGGACCCTAAACCGATAACTTTTCAGTTTCCACCCATGATTCAATAAAAGAATCATAGTTTCCACCCTAGTTCTATCCATCAATTTTGCGAAGAAGCGGAGACACGTCAAATGTAAAAGTAAACAAAACTGGAAGAAAATCAGCTGGGAAACTAACGTCAAAGTGTAAACAAAATTTTGGAAATGGCAGGAGCTCCACAAACAAAACGCTATCGACGGGAGGATAAAAATAAATCTTCAGATGAAGAGGACGACAACTATGTGCCCTATGTTCCGGTTAAGGAACGCAAGAAGCAGCAGCTAATGAAACTGGGTAGAATTGTTCAGATCACCTCAGAGGCAGCCGCACAGCCAAAATCATCGAGTGAAAATGAAGGCGAGGAGGAGTCACAGGGTGCCACCGAAGCTGAGCTGTGGGGACGTAGGTATAATATCAGTTTGCTGGACCAGCATACTGAGTTGAAAAAGATAGCTGAAGCGAAGAAAATTAGTGCAGTCGAAAAGCAACTAAAAGAGGAAGAAAAGATCTTAGAAAGCGTGACACAACAAAAGGCTTTAATGGGCGTAGCTGAGTTGGCCAAAGGTATTCAATATGAAGACCCTATAAAAACCAGTTGGCGCCCACCTCGCTACCTTGCTGCCATGACAGAAGAACGACGAAATGCAATACGTAATCGTTTACGTATTCTAGTCGAGGGTGAGGATATAGCGCCACCAATACGTAGCTTCCGCGAAATGAAATTTCCTAAAGGCATTTTAAACGGACTTGCTGCAAAGGGAATCAAAAAACCTACACCAATTCAAATACAAGGTATACCCGCAGTATTATCTGGACGTGACTTAATTGGTATAGCTTTCACTGGCTCAGGAAAGACACTCGTTTTTGTTTTGCCAATTATCATGTTCTCACTGGAGCAAGAGTATCGTCTTCCATTCGAGCGGAATGAAGGCCCATATGGACTCGTCATTTGTCCATCACGGGAACTGGCGAAACAAACTTTCGATATTATCTTGGTAGGTTATTATTTAAGGCAGCTGGCCGTTATAAAACTAATGATATATTACTTTTTAGCATTATAGCAAACATTTGCAACAATGTGGTATGCCTGAAATAAGAGCTTGTCTAGCTATAGGGGGTCTACCCGTTTCTACCGCATTAGATGTTATACAACGTGGGGTGCACATCATGGTAGCAACACCTGGCCGTCTGATGGATATGCTGGAAAAGAAGATGACTACTTTAGATATATGTCGATACTTGTGCATGGACGAAGCAGATCGAATGATAGACATGGGTTTCGAAGAAGATGTGCGTACGATATTCTCATACTTCCGAGGTCAACGACAAACGCTCCTTTTCTCTGCTACAATGCCAAAGAAAATACAGAACTTTGCACGCTCAGCTTTGGTAAAACCTGTAACAATAAACGTTGGACGTGCTGGTGCGGCTTCGATGAATGTTACACAGGAGGTAGAGTACGTTAAACAGGAGGCCAAAGTTGTGCATCTTTTGGATTGTTTGCAAAAAACTACACCACCGGTACTCATATTCGCTGAAAAGAAGCAAGACGTCGATTGTATACATGAGTATTTACTACTTAAAGGTAATGCTGAAGAGTTTATCACATATCTTTAAAATCTAATCAAAATTATTGGTGTTTTTAGGTGTTGAAGCTGTCGCGATTCACGGCGGTAAAGATCAAGAAGAGCGTTCCCGTGCAGTAGAGGCTTATCGTGAAGGGAAGAAAGACGTGTTAGTAGCTACTGATGTCGCCTCCAAAGGATTAGATTTTCCAAATGTGCAACATGTCATAAACTATGACATGCCCGATGATGTTGAAAACTATGTACATCGTATTGGTCGTACCGGACGTTCAAACACTAAGGGATTAGCAACAACTTTTATCAATAAAACAGCTGAACAGTCCGTATTGTTAGACTTGAAGCATCTGTTAATCGAAGCTAAACAAAAGGTGCCCGAATTTCTCAATGAGCTATGCCCTGAGCCAGAAAATTATTTGGATCTTGGGGATTCGCATGGTTGCAGTTATTGTGGTGGCTTAGGCCATCGCATTACTGAATGCCCGAAGTTGGAAGCCGTACAAAGCAAACAAGCTTCAAATATCGGACGGCGGGATTATTTATCAAATACAGCTGCAGATTACTAAAGTCGATCAAAATTTTACTGTTTCATATTCGCATAAAATCATTGTAGTTCATAAGTTTCTCAATATGTATGTATGATTATAAGCGTGTCTTTTTCTTATTATTATGGACTTCAATTTTACAATTTATGAGACAGTTTGTCCATCCTGTATACCAAAATACCCAAATAAAGTAATTGATAAAGCAAGAAAATTAAAAACAATTCTCAGAAATCAATTCTCTTTGTAAACAAATTAATCTCTAGAATTAAATAATAGCTTGTTTCCAATAAAAAATATGCAGATGTATAGAAAGATGAAAAAAGCTCGAAAAACATTTTTACCAACGCCCAGACGATATTATACATGTGTTTTATACAGTATATGTACGTATGTATGTAGGAGTATACCGGTAAATTTGTTCAATGCACAAAAGCAATACTAATGTCGCTGCTTTGATAAGCATTATAGCTCAGCTTCAGGAAATACCAAATCTGTTATCAGCAACTGCCCTCACTCAAAGTACATAAATAAGTATACTTTGCGCTCCGCTAAGAAGAGACTCGCTTCATCAGCTTATATGCGATCCATCTGCTTGGACGATGAATTAAATGTTTGAGCGAGGGAAAGAGCAACTTTAAAATGAGCAAGTTTGAGAAACTGAATATATAAGGCTTCAGAGTTTATAAACAGCTCAGTACCTCGAAATCCGCTTGAGGTAAAAGTAAATTTTGTCAATCGTTCAAAGTGCTTATTAAGTAAGCTAGCGAGTAAAGCGAAAATCGTGAGTGCTTTGGAGAAACCATACGTGGGAAAAGGTATACTTCGTTGTGTTTTGATTTGAACAAGTTTTAGCATATATTATCGAAGATTATTTATGTGCGCTAATTGTGCCCGGAAGAAATTTTGATTTGGTGACTTTAAGTTATTGCATACATAAGTATGTATGTACAAGTTTTAACGTACAAGTTTTATAAGCTAGCTACCTCCCTATTTAAAGAAATACATACATATGTATGTACTTAAGTATCTACATATGTACATATTCATAGATGCTCAAATGTGATATTTGAAGTGTAGTGTAATTGAATCTGCCTTGGAAAAAATAACACTGTTTTGCGTATTTATTTAAGCAACTGATCTTCTGTTGACTTTTCTGTCCATCATTTGTCTTTTCAACAAACGCACACTAATTTAAAATATGATACGATGTAATACTTATCGCACCCATTCCACCGAAAGTGCATTAAGTGCAAATTTGTCATTTTTGATATTATTATTTATTGTTGTGCATAATTTGCTGCTTGGCTTGGACAATCAAGAAGAAGAAATTGCAACAAGAAAAAACACATTCAAGTCTTCTTCGTTTTTGTGCATACTGATAAAGAATAAATATTGAATTAATGCACTTTTGAAAAATGTGTGCGTTATGTGCTGTTAATGCACACATGCAGTCAGCGTCAAAAATAACGTTAAATAAATAATTGGGTACTATTAGTGGAAGTGTCCCCCGAAGAGAATCAGAGTTTTCCGATCGAAAAATATTGATCTTCAAGAATTATATACCATTTCGCCGAAAAGTTGTTTTTTCCATTTAAAATACATGGAAAACTTTGAGCGCTTTGAACGAGCTCTAAATATTTTTTGATTTCATAACGAGCCCTAACCGCCAAAATAACGTAAGCGATATTTTTTTCGAAATTTTATTTTTGATGCAGAAATGCATCTAGATGCTCTAGGAATATTTCTGCATCAAAAATAAAATTTTGAAAAAAATGTCGCTTACGTTATTTTGGCGGTTAGGGCTCGATAATATAAAGATAGAGGTAGGTGGTGAGAGCATAAAAATTCCGACTTTATTTTATCCCCCTCTCATGCATTTTTGAACCAGCCTGATGTACATAGGCATACAAAGTAAAAGATTTATGTTGCATAAATGCACATTTTCCCCCAACTACCAAAAAAAAAAATTGCATGGTCACATGCGGAATTTTAAAGAAAGTTTAATGAACCTAAGGTCAACATAACTTGTGGATGGGTTAAAAATGATTTGTTATAGCAGTTGGAAATTTCAAAAGTGTAAAGTAGAAATCAAAAGGTTGAGGTAAGTTATGGATAAAGGAAAGTACTATACAATCTTTTATTTTGGAATGTACAATTTCATCGTACAATGTACAAATATACATACATAAGTACATATCGCACCCTAAACCAAAAAGAGTCTGAACTCCAAATTTATTTATTTTTTCCCAAAAAAAAACAGTTCCTAAAACATATGTATTTCTAATGCTGGATTTCTACTAGGCATTAAATGGCAAAAAAGACAAATGTCAAAGTTGGGCATTAAAAAATAATAAGACTGCTTTGCTTGCGTCGATTGCGCAGCATGAACAATTGAATTTTGTTTTGTTTTTCTTAACACATGATTTGGTTATAGTTACCAAGTCATGTAATGAAAGAAATATATTTGACTGACTTTTTCTGTGCGCAACATAGAAGAACAGGTAGCGGTCATTTCTGCACACTTAACTAAATTTTTATTTATTTTTATTTTTTATTACGACACTTTTGCAGCAAATGTGCGAAATGTATATATGTAGAAAAAATATCTTCCGCTGCGGTGAAAGTATTTACATATGCTTAGTTTAGACAACCACTTAGCATTCAAAACGCCTGAACATTAAATTGCGCTTTGCTACTTTTGTTTGAGAAAAAAGGGTTTGCTCTTGTGTATGGTGTTGTCTTATTACTTACATATATATGAACTTTTTTGTACATATGTATGTACATATAAGTACTTATGTGAATTTGTTCAAAGTTCGGCGTTAACGCTTTTCTTCGCCTCCAAGTTTAATTTTAGACATTTTTCGATTTTTAAATTTTTTATGACGATCCTTGCTTTAAGTAATCGAAGCTCAATAAATTCGCTCGTCTCAAGATCATTAGAAAAAAGCTTAGTATTTAACGTTCATTCTGTTCGAATAAAAAATTTTTCTTGGCTTATCGCATATTAACTACAGAATAATCTCAGGGTTGTGATCCCAAGATTTATTTAACTTGTTTATTTTTTGTAGGAAAAAAAACTCACCAACATAGTGTGTAAGTATGCATTCATATACGTATGTATGTATGTATATATGCATGCATTCTTGTGTTGTAAACTAGATTCAAAATTATTATTGTGCTTTTAATTAAATTTAGGACGCATTTATAAGTTTACATGTTGTGAAATTATAAATACTTATAATAAAGTTAATTAAGCGGTAGCTTGCTTGCGTTGACTCCGTTATATTTAAATATAAAGTTGTACATATATACTAAATAAATACATATGTACATACCAATTTTTTGTATATTTTCCTCTGCATTTTTACGTGTTTTTATTACCCGGCAAATAAATTTCAAAACAGTAAATAGCAATAGTCAATTGACACAAAGTGATTAACTCCATCAACAAAAAATTGGGAGATGCGATCAAATAGTGTACATTATTTTTTAAAATTCCATTTATATTATAAAATCAAATAAATAATGTTGTTATACATCTTATGTACTATTTTATGTTATATAAGGTTATTATAAAAGTACTTAAGTTATGACTATACCAAGTGCTTTGACACTTAAATTTAAGATTTTTCAAAAAGTGAAGTTAATCGATGTGTGCATTGAACGGCTCAATTGCAGGTACATATGCATACATACATATATAAACATATCTACGTGCATACCCATGTACAACCTAATATGACAACATGCGCGTACATTGGAGGACAGTGTCAGTGCCAAGTTCGTAGTAAACGTTTTGCGGTTTCAGTCGCTAAATGTTTTCAGCTTTAATTATGAGCAATATTTGTAAAAAAAAAAAGAATACCTGCCTCCAAGCCGACAAGTATTCAACTTGCATAAATTACTTCTAAACTAATTATCCAGCCTTTAACAAGTTCCTACTTTTCTGTTTTGGGTTGCCCAATTGATGTATGGCGGCGCGCCTTCTTGTTTAGAATCAATTAGCGACTCAGTATTCTATTCAGTTAGTTATTATCGACTATTGCGTTCTTTTGTTTTTGTTATGTGAAAAATATCGTGCACGTACAATGAGACATATGTATTTTTATTGAGAGCTGATGGCTTTATTAAATAATTTTTCTTAATGATTCATTTTGTTCAAATGTTTACGCAAGCAGAACATTGAAAGATGGTATGTACGAGTATACAATTACTTGAAGCAGTATAACAAATAAAAAAAAAACTATTTTCCATAAAAATAAGGAAGGAACTTCTTTTTTCACTGCTTATGAGAGAAAATCATGTTGGCGCTAATTCTTCCGTTAGTGTTTATTAGGAAAACAAACCGGCTTGGGCAAAGTCGAGCCAAGATCAAAAGGCCTAAGAGGCGCTGTGCAGAAGGACCTACAGTGGCGCTCACCTAAAAAGCACACTTTTATTTTTTACAATATTCATAACGTTTTACGTGATACATTTTTTTTCGTATAAAAATATAGTAGTAGTATACATACATATCGTTACCTTAATTCACAATGGCCCTAACCAACAATTTTTATTTATTTTACAGGAGAAGCAAAAAACAAAACGTTATAAAAAGTGTATCAAAAACAGGTAGGGCTTTTTAGAAGGTGGTATGTAATTCCGTTGGTTTTGGTACTAACACTTTAAAATTTTGATTGAAAGTGTATTTTAAGCGCAGTTTTGGGAAAGTGTTGGTTGAACCTTTGTGAATTAAGGTGACGATATATAAAGTAGTTTTTTTTGTTTTTTTTTTCACAAAAATCCATTAAATGGGTGGTAGGTGTGGTGGACTAAGGATAACATGCTCACCAGGTTTCTTTTAGATAGCTCAATCTTTACTCGATTTATCGCGTGCGCGGATAGACAGACAGATAATTTAATTTTTGAAATACCCAAACGCCTATGAGTCTGTAATTGACAAGCAAAATAGTAAGCGGTGGCGATCATACTGCAACAGTTTTTAGAGAGAGTGTATTCATCGTCTCTGGTCTATATCTATCTCGAACTCTTTAGACTGTTACAAGCAGCCTTTACCCGTACTTGAACAAAGTACAAATACACTTGTCCTCATGTGCGTTCGAGTATAAAAGCAATTCAACTAAGTAACCTCTCCGGGGTTCTATAACAGAAACTTTTTCGTACTATTCATTTCTTCTAAATTTTGGAGAAATACTCGCCAGTGAAAATCATCGTTGTA